GACAATATTCATGTAAGGAGATGTTGATGAATAAAAGTTTGCAGAACCTGACTGTAGAAATTTATCTGCTGTCGGTCAAAATAACTGGGCATCATCCACTAGTGGTGGATAAAAGAGGGTCAAGGGCCAAGGGTCATATATTTGCTGCCTAAAAGAAGCAGGTTAAGCCCAAATAATGAAGATATGGGCAGATCCCTGTAGCTTTTTTCTTGGATCAGCTGGATCAGCTGATGGAGAAGCAGTTCAACTTTTCTGAATTTCAAAATTCTGCTTGAAAAAAAAAAAAGAGTGGACTGGACGTCAATTCCTAGTTTAGCCCTAGAATGGCCACTGCTACCATTCGGAAGAAACAGGTCTTTATTCAGGCATCACAGTACAGATAGTCCTCGATTTACGACCACAATTGAACCCAATATTTCTATTGTTAAGTGAGACATTTGTTAAGTGAGTTTTGCCCCATTTTACGACCTTTTTGCCACAGTTGTTAAGTGAATCACTGCAATTGATAAGTTAGTAACCTGGCTGTTAAATGAATCTGGCTTCCCCATTGACTTTGCTTGTCAGATGATCGCAAAAAGTGATCACATTACCTTGGGACACAGCAATAGTCATAAATAGTCACATGTCATAAATAGACTTTGGGACACAGCAATAGTCACATTTTTCAATGCTGTTGTAACTTTGAACGGTCACTAGGCAAACTGTTGTAAGTCAAGGACTACCTGTATTACATCTTTAATCAGGCTGTATATCTGTGGGTAGCAAAAATTCAGATGATCAGGATACTGAAGATGCTCTGGACATTTACAGCTTACCTCTTTAATACATTATGTTTTTCTTTCTTTCTTTCTTTCTTTCTCTTTCTTTCTTTCTTTCTTTCTCTTTCCTTCCTTCCTTCCTTCCTTTTCTTTCTCTTTCCTTCCTTCCTTCCTTCCTTTCTCTTTCTTTCTTTCTTTCTTTCTTTCTTTCTTTCTTTCTTTCTTTCTTTCTTTCTTTCTTTCTTTCTTTCTCTTTCTTTCCAGAAAAGACCTGCAGGATATTCTGCCTCAGCTACTTTCAGAATACTCTATGCAGGCACAGAAACCCCCTTTGACACGAGGCTCTTCACAATCTCCTCACCAGAAGCTGAGACCACAGAGCTTCAAGACTTAACTCAGATAAAGGTGCTGCTACCTTGAATCTTTATTGAAGGAAAATGTCTCTTCCATGTTTTGCACAACCTTAATTCAGTGTAGCACTTGAGTAAATATCTCACTCCACTGGTGAAAGGAGGATTAGGCTTCCCAGTGCTTTTTTTCTAAAAAAAAAAAAAAAAAAAGGTGCCGGAACTCACACACGTCATACAACCCGCCTTGCCTATCCTATAAGTTTCCATCCAAAAAAGGTGCCGGAACTCCGTTCTGGGTGTTCTATGAAAAAAAAAAAAGCCCTAAGGATTCCTTCATACAAAGATATAAATAATCAGAAAATGCAATTGTAATAGAGGAAGATCTATCAGCATTTAAATCTTGAGACAACTAATAATATGATTTTTTAAACCAGCCAGTATATAACTCTGCTTAAAAAATCCAGTAATAGATTTATCAGCTAGTCATCTGTCTGACTTTCTCCCCTGAAAATGTTAATTCTGAGCTAATGAAAGGACTCTACAATTTCGTATTATTTCAGTCACTACCCTTATTGCTGTTGTTAGAAAATATTTATTCAAATAAAAACATTCTCATTTTGTGTCTAACGGTTTTGATTATGACAGTGTATGCATTGATTTGCTTGTGCGTTTTTAATATTACCTTATTCTCCATCATACTTCAGGATTCCTGTTTTTCTTCAAAGATTATAGCTACGATTACTGATGAAAATAATAAACTCTTTCAAGCAGGCCTTTTTTTCTCATAGAACGCCCAGAACGGAGTTCCGGCACCTTTTTTGGATGGAACATTGTAGGGTAGGCAAGGCGGGTTGTATGACATGTGTGAGTTCTGGCACCTTTTTTATTTACAAAAAAAGCACTGCTTTCAAGAATACCAACATAATAAAGTTAGGTTACTGTCCAAGAGAGAAAATTCCTATTTGATTAATATTTTTAAACTGCATAATTTGGATACATTCTGAGGGATGTCAAGTATCTGAATCCACTTTAGATGGAGAAAGTAGCGGTGTGATTTTAATTCTGAATACCCAGATTTCCTTGAATGAATGTTCACAGAATCATGCTGTTGATGTCTTCAAAAAAAAAAAAGGAAGCAAGTATGGATGTTTACACACTTAAACTCATTTCCAATTGTTTAAACAGCTGGAATTTGGGGGTCTCATTAGAAACAATTTAACCAAGAGAAATTAGATGGTTCCTCACAACATCTAGATCTCAGACTTGTGAGGAAGGGGTTTTGCAATAAACTGATACCTTAAAGCTAGAAATGATTTCCAATGAAATCATTGAAGTTGGTTTCTATTTGGGATGTAGACAGGTCTTATTCTAAGGTCTTAACATATTTTCCTCCTTTCTACCATTCACAACATTTCAAAAAGTATTTCCTTTTTTTCTCCTCCACTGTGGAGCCTTCCTTCTAAGCTCCATCCGTTTTTCTCTAAAGCAGATTTCCAATATGGGCAGTCTTTCTCAGTTCTTAAGGCTGTTTTCTGAAAGTTGTTCGAACTTTCAAAGGGACTAGTATCTAAATGCCAATGAGCTATATCTCTGAAATTGCACATGTGGCCAAGAGGCTACATGTGTTTGGCAGCCCTGATCTGGTAGCCCAAATAAAGAGTCTTGATGAAAGGAAAAATTCCAAGCACTTGTGATTTTTCTTGGAAATCAATGAAAACATCTCACAGGATGTATGACACATTCCATAACGCTTTGACCATAGATGGGACAAGTTGCTATTAGGAGATCTGTCTGTTTATCCATCTGTTCATAAACCCGATCATATTAAGTAAACCAAGCAATACAGCATACAGGTTCTCAGCTGTGCCCATCTGAGGCTTCATGTGAAATTCTGAGTTGGATGGAATCCAGGACTATAGTTCCATAGTTCTCTACTTACATCCCATTGAAATGAATGGATCTCAGCAAAAAGGGCACGGCTTCATAAAGTTGGCTTGAGCTCAAAGCAGTTTTCCTGGATTGTTTGTGCTTTTCACAGCATGAATTCTACATGTTTTATTTGAAAGTCAGCTCAAACATGTAAAATTAGAAAGAGCACATCATTCTAACTCTAAGGTAGGAGTGCTCGCATATGTATTCAATACATACATTGTTTCATTATTATTAATTTACATGGCTCAGATCATTTTTTTTTAAGGAAACCTATTTTCAAGTAAATGGATGACAATCAAGGCTAGTGGACTCTGCTGCACTTTCTTTGACCTCTCAGCTCCCAAATGACCCCCCAAAGATGCGAGTCAGCAGATGTGGGGATGAATGGAGAAAAGAGAAATCAATATCATTGGCAGATGCCAGTTCGCCAGCATGGGTACTTGTGGATACAAATTCACATGTCGTTGATTATAGCTTTTTTGAGTTTGGTCCTGCCCATTCCAAAGTGGACAGACTTTTGCAGAAACTGGCATTAAAAGTTAGGCTGCAAATGTTCATAGGTCCCACTCTTGAAGCCCTGTAGAATGATCAAAAACTTGCCTTTATTCTTATAAATGATGTTTTTTCTTATTAGAATAAACAGAGTTCCATTCCAAATTTGGATTAAGGATTGGGATGCTATATACCCCAGTCAGGATTCTCTAATTATGTTGGATTTTAATAACCTGCAGCCAGTAGTGCCAGATCCAAGAAATCTAGTTTCCTCATTTGCAACTTAAATCAGTTCCAGAATGACCTAGTAGTAACCCTAGTACTCCCCCTTCTTGAGCACATCAGCTTTCTTTGCTCAGGCCCATATGTCACAAAATCTGCTAATCGTTCAGTAACAAAACTAGCTTCTGCTGTGTCATCCATCACTGAATCGAAGTGTGTAGATGTTGTTCTCCCTCCTCAATATTTGGGAAGGCAAGTTGATGTAAGAGGGTAGGCTTGAACAGCTATTGGATTGTTTTTGGGAAGAGCTGCCTGTATCTTAGGAGGCGGCAGATAATATATTTCAACAGCCAATTGGTGTCCTCAAAATATTTACCCCATCACTCAAATACAGACATTATATTTTGTTAAGCAGCCAAGGCAGCAACAGTGATAGGATAACAGAGATTAAAGGATGCTCAGGATCACAAGTAAGGCTCAGTGCGAAGCTGATTACCTTAAAAATATTCTCTATTGAAAAAAGAAGTCCTCATAAAAAACATATTTTTTATGTCCATAGTGTGTGCTTACACCAGAGATAAAGAGATGCCAGGCAGCAGGTAGGAATCTGGACATAATATCACCATTGCTTGTTTATATGCTTGTTTTCAATAAATTACCATCCAATGACTTCCTTCAGAGCATCTCAGCAGCTTCCTTGGGAGGTGAATGATTCTCCTTTTCAGTTTGTTTAGGATACCAGAAAAACAACGTAAAATATGGTTTAATTTCTTTTTTTTCCCATTAACATTTATCATGAACCCAACACATTGGTAATTAAAAAAACAAACAAAACAAAAACAGGAATAACAAGCAGGCATTCCAGGCCCAATTCCCTGAGAAAAGGTGTTTTCCATTCCAGAGTCAAGTGTCAGTTATGTGATATCTATGGCAACATCCGGGTCAAGAATGAAACAAATTAAGGAAAATCAACTCCCTTCCTCCCCCTGTCCCATCTGAACTTGGTTGGCTCACAGTATATTTTGTAAAAATGGGCAGGAAATCCCAAAGCGTGACGCTGGCTGTTCAGTGCGGTCCATCCTAGTTGCAGGATATGGAGAGTCACCACTTGCCTCATCGGTTTCACTTTTGGACTAGTGGTTTTCTTCCTCCTAGGCTGGCTGGTGTGTGGCCGGCAGTCTCTTCTTCTTTTTCTGTATAGAATGCAGAAACTCTTCTGCTGCTCAGTCTTTCCTTGTAACTGCTGTCACTGTGCAACAGTTGGGGTCAAGCCAGTAGCACCCAACACGCCTCCACTGGGAACAGAGCCAGGTGTCCCTGCCTGCATGGAGGAGACAGGACTCATGGGTTCAGATCCACTGTGCACTCCCCCAGGCTGAGATTGCTGTAACTTTTTCTTGTTGATCTTCCTTTCTTTTGCCCGCCTATTTTGAAACCAGATTTTCACCTAGGGAAGGAAGACAGAGTTAGTGTTAATAATAGAGAGCTGGATATTTTCAGCTTCAAAGTCCAGTTTACAACCATGAGTTCCTGGTGCCTCCCACCCAAGTATTAACTAGGCCAGGGGTAGGCAAGGTCAGGGAGATGCCACCAACTCTCAGGGCAGAGATTGATGTCCAGTTCAGCTAATACTGCTTTGGACGGATTGTACTCATGTCTGTGAGTCTGGGCATAATGATGAGTTTTATCCATAACACTCCTATGTAAATTTACCTATAGAGTACAACAGGATTTTCTCCGAGTAAATATACAGAAGAGATTGGATTAGAAAAGTTCTCCCTCCTACCCTTTTTTTAGTGGAGATTTGGAGACAGAGGATAAACTTGTAATAAATTCCTGAGAAAAGATCATTTATTTTTAGAAGGAAGGAGAAGACCATCTTGTTTTCTTACAGGGAAGAAATTTATCCCTTTTGTTGTAAAATTAGAATACGAATCTATTCTCTCAATCTGGCTAGCCTTAAGGTAGTGTTTCTCAACCCTGGCAGTTTTGAAATGCATGGATTTCAACTCCCAGAATTCCCTGCCAGCATGCTGGGGGATAGGGCTTTAATCAAATGTTCTAAGCCAGGGGTAGGCAACCTTGGCTCTTTTATGACTCGTTGACTTCAACTCCCAGAATTCCTGAGCCAGCCATGCTGGCTCAGGAATTCTGGGAGTTGAAGTCCACGAGTCATAAAAGAGCCAAGGTTGCCTACCCCTGTCAGAACTAAATGTTAGATGATGTATGATAATAACATCATCTTTAAAAAAAATAGATAATAAATTGAGTATTTTATGCCAAAATTTGAGAATGTTGATCAAAGCAATGTAACTAGTAGTAAATTATGCTTTTGTTCCATGCAGCCTACTACTGTCCCATATATGATACTCCAAGATTACAGACAGAAACTCAGAACCTGAGCGTTTCTCCATACAAAGCCTGCTTTTTAGCACTGAACTATGACTCTCCCTGGTTAAGCATTGCCAGATATAACTCAAGATACTGAGAATGTAAATGCAGCCTGTATGTGCATTTTTATAAGATTCAGTGCTATCAATCCAGTGAAGCTTACTTCAGAACAATTATACATCACATAATTAGAATGCCTATGCGATCGAGATCTTAATTGTGAACCTAAATGATTTACAAATCACAAACCTCACCACACAATTCGCTAGAACAAATAGTGCATGAGTTATCTGTGACTGCCTAAACAGGTGACTTTGAAACCTACAGTAGGCTTCATCTACCTATAAGACAGTAGACAGAATTTTGACAAACTTTAGCATGACCAAAAAAGGAATACGGTACCCCCATATCATCAGCATAATACAAAAAAGAGCACCATGTTATACCTAAATATCCTGCTTGCTGTCCTTCAACCAAAGCTGGGTTTCAAGCTCTACACTACTACAAAACAGATCAAAATGCTTCCAGGATCCACTGACATATGAAATATTTTTTTGTCCAGTCTTCAACTACATCAATGCCACCATCTAATAGGGACAAGGACTTTTCTTACTTGTGGGGAAAACATCTTTAGGTTTAAGACTGAAAATAGTGTGCATTGCACGTTTAATTTGCATTTAGAAAGTGGTGATTTTGTCAAAGTAGAAAGCTGGGGCCTTTTTGTTTATCTCCTTTTTTTCAGAGTTAAAATGAATTTTATTGGGGGAAAGTGTTTATTTCCCAAATTCAACAGTAGTAGCAGCAAAATCTAAGGCACATTAGAGACTGGGGTTTTTTTTAACACTCACCAAAACACCTGCGGGGGGGGGTGAGGAAAAGCAAAGCTACTAGTCATGTGGGAGCTGACTCAGAACAAATGCACCTCCAGGAATGCCAAGGACACCTGGAACAGGGGTGGTGCTCAGAAGTTAGAAATACAAGTCTATTGGACTTTGAAAATGAAGGTGTGTGTGTGTGTTTTGCAATAACAACTAAGCAAGCAAAGGGTATGCTAAGATGTCTTCACTGATAACTAAGGAGATAAACAAAATCTGGCAGTGTTGGTATATAAAGGTGGTCAATAACCGGCTTTGTACAATAGATGCACTTGGACACTTGGATTTAAATTCAAATCTAAATGCAAACATTTAGGCATGCCTAGATTCCATGGAGATCAAAGAAACCTTAAACCCATCCCCATTCAGTAAGATCTTTCCTCATGATATTTAGCACCTGGGGGCATTCAGAATATTTTGCATGTAGTTTTTTAAAAATGACCCTGCATTTTTTTTTCCATTTGCACTCCTGTTACAGATGGGAGGATCAGAGGGATAATAGCTTAGCCCACACTCTAATGGGAAATGTGGAAATTGAACTAGAAATATTCTGGCTTACTGCTTATATACTTTTAAATTATTACGCTAACTGGTATCATACACTGAGGACTCTTGCTATAATATGGAAGTAAATGCCACTGCTGGTAATATACAGAGCTTAACTTCACGCCCCTGAGTTCATAGAACCAATCCTGACTCTTCTGAGATGACACGAAAAGCACCCAAGAGTAGAGATCTTTGCATGAAATGAGGAAGAAAGACAGACACAATCTGTAAAAATTCCATGTGTTTTTAGATTGCCCATGGTGTACTTAAGTTTTAATCCATGCAGATTTTTTTTAAGTTTGTTTAAATTCAAGTGTTTAATGGCATCAGTAGGAAATAGATAAAAACTACAAGGCACAATCCAGTTGCAAGCAAAGTGAAGAGAGTTCCTAAACTGGTATGTATGTATGTATGTATGTATGTATGTATGTATGTATGTATGTATGTATGTATGTATTATGTATGTATTATGCTGTCCTCACCAATAAGATGACTCTGGAAGGCTTACGAACAGGTAAATATAGAAACAATTAAAATTACAAGTATAATTATGCTATATAAAAACTACACACATCTTTATATAATCACCTGGCAATGAGATGGAATGGCATATAAATTTAATAAAATAAATAAAACAATATATGCCAGTCTTCAATCCACGTATTTTGATGCTGCAGATAAAAGAGACACAAGCAAGCATAGTGCATTTACTATATGCACATTTTCTATACTTAGTTCCTATGTTTGGAAAACAAAGATACTTTGATTTGGGTGGAACTCACAGGTTTTTCTTTGCTCATCCTTCTCAGAAATACCAATATCATCAATATCAACGCCCTGATGCAGCAAAGAATGACACAGTTGGATAGGTGCTACACAACAACACTGAAGAAAGGAGATTTAACAGAGTGTGCATCCTGTTGCACATTATCCTTAATTTCATATGCTACTAAAATAATGTTTAGGATCATCCAAGAAAACCCTACATGTAAAGAGAAATGACAGATGTTCAAGCTGGCTTTAAAAGGCAAGAAATGAGAGATGCTGTTGCTGATGCAAGTTGTATCACTGAGAAAGCCAAACAATATAAAAATGAAACTGCCATGTTCTTTACTAACTTTAGAAAGGCCCTTGATTGCTTTGACCATGTCAAGCTGTAAAAAAACCATAAGGAAATTAGGAATCCCAGAATATATCGGTGTCCTCATGTAAAACCTATCCACAGGACAAGAAGCCACGGCCTGGGCAGAAGAAAGTAAAATAATCCAGCTCTAGGTAAGCAAGGTACAGGTAGTCCTCGACTTACGACCACAATCAAGCCCAAAATTTCTGTTGCTAAGTGAGACATTTGTTAAGGGTTTTGCCCCATATTACGACCTTTCTTGCCACTATTAAGTGAACCATCACAGTTGTTAATATTTAGTAACATGGTTGTTAAGTGAGTCTGGTTTCCCCATTGACTTTGCTTGTCAGAAAGTGGCAAAAGGTGATCACATGACCCCGGGACGCTGTAACTGCCATAAATAGGAGTCATTTGACAAGTATCTGAATTTTGATCACATGACCCTGAGGATGCAAGAGTAATCTTCATTATGCAGAATCACTGAAAACGTAAATGATCTGCAACAGGGGTGTCAAACTGCCGGCCCATGGGCCGGATGTCTCATGCTAAAACCACGCCCGCCCCATTGCCGGCAATGGAAAAAAAGTCACGATACATCGCAACACATCACGTGACATTGCGAGTTTGACACCCCTGATCTGCAAGCTCTAGTAATGAAAGCCAAAAAGTGCAGCAAAAAAATGAGAGTACAATTAAATAGAATGATAGATCAAGCTAATGACTAAAGCAGGGGTAGGCAACCTTGGCTCTTTTATGACTCGTGGACTTCAACTCCCAGAATTCCTGAGCCAGCCATGCTGGCTCAGGAATTCTGGGAGTTGAAGTCCACGAGTCATAAAAGAGCCAAGGTTGCCTACCCCTGGACTAAAGGAACAGCAACCAACTGGCAATAAAGATAGTGAAATGGTAGATAGATTCTGCATTTTAAAATCAACTATTAACAGCAAAATAACTAGCATCCAAAAATACTTCAGAGACGAGAATTTGCAGAGTAAAGTTATCCTGGAAAAGATATTCAGACACCATGATCCAATATCTCAGGGGCTGCCACAAAGAAGAGGGAGTCAAGCTATTCTCCAAAGCGCCTGAAGGCAGGACAAGAAGCAACGGGTGGAAACTAACCAAGGAGAGAAGCAACCTAGAACTAAGGAGAAACTTCCTGACAGTTAAAACAATTAACCAGTGGAACAACCAGCCTCCAGAAGCGGTAAATGCTCCAACACTGGAAGTTTTAAAGAAGAAACTGGACAGCCATTTGTCCGAAATGGTATAGGCTTTCCTGCCTGAGCAGGGGGTTGAACTAGATGACCTCCAAGGTCCCTTCCAACTTTATTATTATTACTATAAACATCAGAATCATGCAACATTTTTCTTTATGGTGCTCTATGGAAACCAAAGCTGGACTTGGAAGAAGCAAGACAGAAAGTATTGGCACTTTTGAACGTTGATGTTGAGAATACTCTTGAGAATATCATGGATAGCCAAGAAACAAACAAGTGGATCACAGAACAAATCATTCCAAAGTTTTCACTCAAATAGCGCTCCCTTGAGAAGTCTATAAGGCATGCTGGGAAAGGAGAAAGGAAAGAGAAGAAGAGGATGATCAGCAGCAAGGTGGATGACTCAGTTACAATGCTGATTGGTACAGTATTGGAAGACCTGAAGGGGCAGATGGGGAGAGTTAATCCTGGAGAAGATCCATGTACTGTAGGTTAAGAGTCAATACCAACGTGATGACAGATCATCTATCCATCCATCCATCCATCCATTTATCCATCCACCCACCGATAGCAGGTTTTATTAAACTTCCTATATCTTCTTCTTGGGTCATAATTCAAGTCTTAATATAAGCTGAAGAAAACCTAGTTAATACAAATAAATTATTCCCTAGTAAAAACAAAGTAAAAAAATAAAGGCTGAGACAATGACAATTATTACTGCTCTAAATTACAGGGATTTCTTCCCCTCTTTTTGATGTTATTCCCCTAAAACCACATCTGTTGAAAAGAAAGCGATAGTGCCAACAATGGCTCTGAACTGACGAATAATTAATTCTGCATCTATTTAAAGGGACATTTATATCAATTGTCTCCATTTGAATCAACCTGATAGTTGCAACAGATTCTGTGTTATGGCTTGTAAAGTTTTGATTAAAATATCTAATTCATTTATTGGTAAATTTACTTGACCTGAACATATATAAAAGTATAAAAGTTATAAATCTTTAAGCTCTTCAAATACCTGAAAAGCACCTACAGTTTGCTACAGTACCTTAAATCTTCCTCATGCTGTGTGCATTTAAATTTGATTCTCGGAGGGTCGGCCCTACCTTTAGGTTGAGCAAGAGGGAGCAACTGCTGGGCAGCAGGTTATATGTAGCCCTTAGACCCCTCCATTTTTCTGTGGCCTCTAGATCTTGCCAATAACATTTAATGGCAAACCACAATCACAGTGGCATTTTTCCAGTGGCTTTCACTTGTCAACAAAAGAAATAAGTTGTATAAGCCATCAATAATGGCTTAAGACATGTAAGTAAACATGACGAGTAAACCTTTTAATAAACCTTTTAATCACTTCCTCTCCCAAAACATGCAGAAGCAAACAAAAGCAAAATGCAGACAGTTCCAGTTTCCTGTTGTGCAGTACCATGGAATCACTCCCCACTTTGATCCTGATTCACTAAAAAAAAAAAAAGTACAAAAGTGGAAAAGTATAATTCCAGATATAGAAAAATCTCGGTGTTCTGAAGTACCGGTAGGTTGATAATCTTAGGTGAAAGATCTTTTGCAATTTCTCATGATTTATGTTCATAATTAGCTTTTGGAAAACAGCATATTCTGCTTGGATACCAATAGTCAGATGTCTGTGTACATAGCATTCTTGTCCTTATCAAATGGATGCTAACAAGAATATTACGCAGCATGCAAAACTAGGAAAAGAATAGACAAAATGCCAAAACTAAGAACATGCTAGTTGATGAAAAAAAAAATAACTGTGGGTATTTTCCAGAAATATTAGGTTCCCCCAATCTAAATTTGGTATCTGAATCCTTCTCCCAAATTGTGATATTTCAATGAGGGGATAAAGACATATCCCAATATTATAGTTTAGAAGTGAAAATATTTTCATAGCTGGAAGTTGCATGTAATATTTTTTGGTATGGGGGGGCAGGATGATGCAATGAGAATAGGGGCAAACATTTTGGGGTATGGGAGTCTTTGAGGTGTATGGAAAGAAGGTTAGGGTCCTCCCTCTTCTTTTCATTAGATTATTTTGAAGTATGTTCTAAGTTTTTTAATGTTGATCATGGCAGGAATTATGCTACCAATTTCCAGCATATGGTGATCGAAAGTGGCTTTAGGACTACTACACCAATGGAGCTTGGCAGTCCATTGTAGCCCATTCCTGTTCCAGGTCAGGTGTAGGGGTGCAGCCAAAATTACTCTAAAAACCTTTCCTTCTGCCTGAATTCATTTCACTCTGAAATGAATTACTGGACACATTGTGCTAAATTGTATTGAGTGAAGTTAAGACTGAAAAGATCCAGGTACAAATCCTTAGCTATGAAACTGGATCAATTAGTTGTTCGGGAAAGTGATAGATTAAGAGCGATGCATTAGATAAACTTGGTATTTTTATGAACTCTTAGCATATTCAAATTTGGGGATTGTGGTAATGAAATGGGAACGTTTTACACCCAGACTTCACCTTATGGGCAGACAGAGAATTTATGAGATAAATGGCCTCTTCATCATCTATCTTCACCTAAAAATTTAAGACTACTTGTACTAACTCTGGCTGAAATTAGAGACAAAAAGAGATTTTCATGGTTAAAAAGCAGACTCTTTATAATGAAGCTTTGTGCCTGGTGACACGACTTTATGAGCAAGTTAACATATTTTTCAGCACCTGGAGGCTACCAAGTCAGGAAAGCTGTTTAAAACCAAGCACTAGTTCATTGCATAAGAATAAGCCTCTCTTTTCCACTTAGGGCATGCCCAACAAATGCAACCAACAGTGTAATCCTGGGTCTCTGACAAATATTTCTATGTGCTAAACTTTTTTTATTTTACAAAAAGGACAGAAGCTCTGTAGCAGAGCACTTATTGTGCATAAGAAAGGCATTCTTGAAATTTCCACCATAGGCTGGATAGAACTGGTTTCCCAAACTCTGGACAGCTGTCTATCATCCTACAGTGACTCTGAGTAAATTAAAGTGGTATTTTTTCCCATTCTTAAAACACACTTTGTTTCATACTGAAAGGGACATTAATGTACATATTCTTAAAAGGCGGGTGCCCTGTTTAATACAAACACTTTGGTGTATTATGTGCATTTATTACTGTAAACAAAAGTAAGATCAGGAAGATTTACTGAAAGAAGGGACGGAGGTTAAATACAGAGTTGGGAAGTTTGGAAACATTACACAGAGCAAAGTCTTACTTGTCTCTCTGACAATCCCAGTGTGGCTGCTAGCTCAGCTTTTCTCCGAATGGTGATGTAACGGCTATAGTGAAACTCCTTCTCCAACTCAAGTCGCTGGTGATCTGTGTAGACCACTCGGTACTTGTCTTTCGTCCTGGTTTTCACTGGGAAAAGAGTCATATGTGAGTTAAAGAAAGCTCATTGGCAGCATCATATTTAAATGCCCACTTCTGAAGTTATATAACTAGAGCTTAGGCTATACATAAAATGCCAACTAGCTTCCAGCAATGAAGAGTTTCTGAACACAGTGGGAAAAGAAGGAAATCTCCTTCAGAATATAATCAAATTCCAAAAAAGATTTAGATCTTTCCTCCCAGTTTCCAAAATTCAACTGCCAATTATTTTCACCACTTCCCGCTCCAACAAGTTATGGAAGGATTCTCCTTTTCTTTCCTAGTTTAAATTTACTAAACCCTTAAATGTCTGGCTCAAAGAGGAAGTGATTTTCAAACAATGAGTGCTTGTAAAAAGAAAGCAGCTGCTGGATTTATGGCCACCAAACCAAACACATCCACATAAGCCAGTGTGTTGGAGGGTGGGTTGCACTTTGATTTGTGGGTGTATATTGTAACTGGGCCTGTTATGATCAGTGCTTAGAATTAAAAGCAATTTCTCCTTGAACATGTGCTTAAAAAAGCAGCTTTCTATGTGGATGATATACACAATGCAGTCCTAACAAATACGCACTCTTAAGTAATTCTGAACGTAAGGTAAAAGACTTAAGTGCATGTTAGTTAATTTACAAGATACCTTTGAGACATTCCCTTGTATGCATAAGATCTGCTGAAATGAGTTGCACATGGGAGCTTGGCAATTAATTTCAACAGGGTTTGGGCACAATCCTGCTAAATTATATTTGTGATGTAGAATATGTCAAACAACTGGTACAACCATTCAAAATTATATCAATTTACATTAACATTTTTTTCAACTTAGAATGAAGATCTAAGCAATTCAGAAATATTTATTTCTAAGTCAAGTTAGTATTTTTATACATTTGTATTTCTTTGGTGCAAGTTCTGATTTTCCAAATAGAGAATGGTAACTTGAATAACCATATACAGGTAATCCTTGATTTATAATTGTTCATTTAGTGACAGTTCAAAGTTACAATGGCACTGAAAAAAGTGATATGACCACTTGTGACTGTTGCAGCATCCCCATGGTCATATGATCAAAATTCAGATGCTTGGCAAGTGACTCATATTTATGGCAATTGCAGCGTCCCAGGGTCATGTGATCACCTTTTGCAACTTTCTGACAAGCAAAGTCAATGGGGAAGCCAGATTCACTTTACAAACATATTACTAAATATTAACAAATGCAATGATTCACTTAACAACTGTGGCAAAAAAAATATCATAAAATGGGGCAACTCATTTAACAAATGTTTCACTTAGCAACATAAATTTTGGGCTCAATTATGGTCGTAACTCTAGGACTACCTGTATACATGGATTAAACATAATGTTAGCCAAATAATCATCTTAAAAATAACCTTCAATCTGGCAACCTATGGATTTGATTAGTTAACAAGCTATATGTTGACAACAGTCCATCAACTCCAGTTAGATGAGAACACAGATGAGAAACTGTCAGCTTTGAACTAAGAATCTGTAAGCACATCATGCCAATTTGGAGGATAAAACATATGAAGAACGGTTGCAGGAATTGAATATGTCTAGTTTAATGAAAAGAAGGACTGGGGTGACATGAGAACAGTGTTCCAATATTTAAGGGGTTGCCACAAAGAAGAGGGAGTCAAGCTATTCTCCAAAGCACCTGAAGGCAGGACAAAAAGCAATGGATGGAAACTAATCAAGGAGAGAGCCAACCTAGAACTAAGCAGAAATTTCTTGACAGTTAGAACCACCAGATTAGAACTCCCTGTTGGGGATGATATCCAGCTATCTGGGCTTGTCTTGGAGTCACAATTTTCTTTAATCTTGAAGTAAAATGAATTTGCTTAACTCTGCAGTAATTCCTATTGTTTGTTTATTCTTACAGATGCTTGGATTAGTATTGAGCAACAACATTTTGACATCAAATCCTGCCCCAAAGATTTTTCAGGTTGCCCAGAAAAAAAATACTATTTGAAAGATATTTTCTAAGTATAACAGTAGTAGAAGAAGCAATGATGAAATAAAATGATTGATGATGCTTCCCCCCTTCATATCAATGGTCATAAAATCTTCACTTCTTTCTAATCATTCTAGCTGGGGGTATCCACACCATCCATAGCAAAAGGACTCTCTTTTTAACAATTTGGACAATCTGCCTTTCAGAGTGGCGTTATCAGGCTCTTACTCCAGTTGATCTTAAAAAATCTTTCATTTCGATATAGTCACTTAGAGATGTGCCGCCAAAAAGCCATTTCAGTTCACAGGAAGAACTGAAGAAGGCCAAGAAATAAAAAAGGGGGAGGTAGGACACTTGGAAATCCTTGCTAGAACTTCCTTTCTCAACCTGCTGATCCAGCAATTTGAACTTCGTGTGTTTTGACAACAGCTGCAGAGAGTTTTCCATTATGTTTTTCTCTCTCTTTTGTGCTGGACTTGATGAGTCTAAAATCCTTCCTGGAGAAATCTTTTTTTTAAAAAAAACAAAACTGGCTGAGATCCTTGGGAGAGGCCAAGTAGTCAATCCGGAAGCCTTGCAGTCTTTTCTTTTCCCTCCTTCTAAGGACGGTTTAAGAAAAGGTTTTCCGAGAGGAAAGGAAAGAATTGCCAGCCCCTGGTTTTTCCCGGGCTAAGTCCAGCACCGCAGCCCCGAGACTCTTCTCTTGTTTCGGGGACCCCCGGATTCTCTTGCAGTGTTTCTTCCCCCTTGGTTTCCGCCTCCCCGCCCAGCCAAGATCAGAGGGCCCGTCCGGGAGGCCCTGCGGGTTCAGGCCCAGACTGGCTCGACTGGGCCAATCAAGCCAGGCCTCAAAGCGCCGCTGGTGTAACTCCGCCGAGCCGAACGGGCGCTCCGGGGACGCCAGCGGCCGAGCTGAGGAAAGGCGGCCGCAAGGTCCGTCTGAGCCAAGCGCCGGCTCCCCGCACCGCAACCCCGCGGATTTAGGCCTAGGCGGCGCTATCACCTCCCACCTAATTTTTTTTTTGGGGGGGGGGGGGCTCGGTAAGCCTCGCCTGGGAAGAGTTGGGAGCGATTCCTCCTAAGAAGAATATGGGAATGGAAACTGTTTTCCATCCTATCGAATTACGAGGGGGGGGGTCCGCGTTTTTAGGAAAGGAAGGTTGAAAGGCAATTGCGCCGGGTCTGTCCAGGATATAATTCAGGATTTAAAATACTTGGGTCTATATTTTTCACTCAAGACATTAAGAAAGGTTTCGCAAAACAGGGTGATTCCAAGAGTTGTATTTTGGTTTCCATGCTCTCTGTTTGCTGAGCTCTTTATAATAAGTAATATTATATAATACATTACAATATTATAATAATGAATAATATGGTGAAAACGGTTTTTCCAACGAGGGGGAAATTGAAGTCCCCTTGGTCAAGATTCCCATCCCATTTAGCCAAATTGTTTGAAAATGGGGGATTAAGGAGATGATCCCAAAATGTGATCTGCACCTCCTGAGATTTTAAGCCATAAAGGGGGTGGGTGGGGGTGGAATCGCCTGATCATTTTTTTTCTTTCTCTCTCCTTTCATATGTACCATATACATTTTCTATTCGGGTACATTTCTTAAACACTGTCGTACCATAATTTTTATAACTGTGCAATAACTCTAAATATGGGCAATAACTCTAAATATACATCTTCACACCACAGAAAAACTTCAGTCCTGGCACCCTTTTTATATGATATTACATCACACTTTTTAGATGATATACAATACATAACAGTGATGAGGTCATTGTAATATTGATATTAAAACAATGGAGGAATTGTAGAATCTATAACAATACGTTCATAAAAATCATGACATGCCTTTGGCACTTGATCTCTCTGTAGAAGAGTTTTGGAAAACAAATGATTTCTGACTACTTAAAAATATAGGTTCCTGCTTTTGAATGCACATGTTTTCTTTTTCTGAAAATAAATAAAGGCTATTGTGCTTTTTAAATAGCTGCGTATAACAAGCTCCAATTGAAATGAAAGTATTTTTTTACTGATGGTGGGAGAGATCCTTAGCTTTGGGATATTTTGTCTAGTAGGACAGAGCATGCAAAAAGGGGAGGAAAAGCCAATATGACCTGGACTGGACCTCAGGTCTCATCTCCCATAGTTGACCAAGCCAGAAGCTGTTAATGGGAGATTCAAATCAGTCCATTTCTGGAAGATCAGAATTTTGCTTTAACAAGATGGATAAAAAGATAGAGAAGATATAAAACCATCCAGACCAGGAGAGGAAGAAATCAACTGGATCGCAGAGTGAATCTAAAAGGAACTAACTTAGAATTTCTTAAACATTTTAGAGAAGACTGAAGATAAAAACAGATTCTAGGAGTCTCTTCTGTATGTGTTTACATTTAAAAGCAAACAATCCATTTTACAGAGATTCTTTTTTTTTCTTTTAGCCAAGCATATGAATGCCTTTTGAGAAATAAATTTCAAATGAATCAAGTGAGTTTTTATTATAAGGAAATAGGTATCACAGTTGTTCTCTTTTGGTTTGTTTGCCTATTCAGAACTGAGGCTGGCTAAATGCTGTTTCACTTTAAAAGATAAAATATTTCAAAACTATTACAACTGTATTTTTAAATACAAAATATGAGATGCACATAATATATAATATTCATACATTTGGTTGCAGCAAGGAGTATATGTATATGTATATATCTTGTTTGTATCTCAATATGATGCTTTTGAGTTTTATGACCCTTAAGGACAACCACTATATGATTTGTAGGAGATGACTCCATAAAAATCAAGCAGTTTATTGGGGTAGAAATCTGAAGGGAATGGATCCCTTTCTCTGTTGATCTGCCAGGGAAAGGGATTTGGTGATCTAACCAGAACCAGCCCTCTACATTCATAGCACCCCTCCCCACTTCTGCCTAAAACAAAGGAGAGGCAGGTCTGGAAAGGGCATGATATATTTCAGTATTGACTGTGAAAGTCTGTCTTCGGCTGTCTTCCATTCTCTTCTTTTCCGGG